CTAATTTTTAGGGCCCCTAAAGCTTTTGCAAGTGGATGATTTTGTCTAAGGAAATAATCAGAAGTTGTTCTCACTGAGGAGTTAACTCACACTGTCCTAAGAATGGCCTCTCATTTTTCAAGGTGGTTTTGATTTGTGTGGCTCTTCTGCTCTTCCATCTCTGCCTCCTCTTCCCCCAACTCTCATACCCATTTGAACAGAAAGAAGGGTGGGTGTAGTTTTTTGTTTTTAATTGTTTACTGAAAGGGTAGGGTCAAAAAGTCTTTTTAACTAGTAAATTTGTAGCAAACTAACTTGTTTGTGTGACCACATCATCCTCAGGGTTGCCTTTTCTTTCTTTTATACTATGGGGCTCTTAACCCTTCACTAACAGTTGAATGCATTCATGAGTTTAAAATGTGATGGTATACATGAAGGCTGATTCAAGAGGAGTATAAAAAATCTTTATTTTTTCACGGTTTTCATGTGTTTTTTCCAGTAAAAAAATCTTTTCTATTTTCAGGTGGAGAAACACTTGATGAATGTGGTTTAAAATTCCTTTTAGCTGTTCGGCTTCACACGTTTCTGACCACCTCGCTTCCTCCTGTGCATAGAGCCCAGCTGCTTCACCAAGGTAATATAGTTTTCTTTTTTTTGGTTTTTAATCAAGTGAATACCATCTGGCAGAACCACTCTGAAGGTGATCAGTGTCTGTTAGATGTAATGGTGCAGAACCACCTGAGAAAATTGTTTTAAGTTATAAAATCTCATTGTTCTACAAGCCATATCTGTGTCAATACTGAAATATAATTACAGCAAAAAATCTGTTAACCGGCATCTTACAAGCCGGCATGCTCTACTAACCGGCATGCCGGCTTGTAAGACAAAGTGAAACCAGAAGTGCCCACTCCTGTACTTCCAGTTTCTCTGAGCCCCCACAGCCTGGGGGCAGAGCAGGCTGTGCGGGGCCTGCCTCCCTGTCCCGCAGAGGGACACCCCAGACACGGCGGGAGAAGTGGTCACCGGGGCCGCTCAATCAACCAGCATATTTTGTTATCCAGCACCCCCCATTCCCAGGGGATGCCGGATAACAGAGCTTTTACTGTACCAGGAATACAATTGTATGTGCTGCTTGATTGGAGTTAAAGACAGTCATATGTGCAGCTTGGGTTTAAAGACAACATCTTGTGTAGTCCTTCTACTCTGAAAAAAATTTTTTTAGTTTTACTTTGGATAAGAGACTAGGGTGGGAAAGCGAATTTTTCAGAAGTATCAAATTGTTTTAGGAACCCAGGTTACTTTTGAAAATGGGATTTAGTCTCTTAAGTCAAATACCTTTCAGAAATTGTGCATAATCAAGTTAGTGTATTTTTGTAGTTTCCAGCAGACTTCTGCTGAGGAGTGGTGTTGCAAAAACAATGTTGGGTTTTTTTTTTAATGATTTCTCCCTCTACTGTGCCTTATTTGAGGAAAAGCAACTACTTTCATTTCTGTAGCATTTTTACAAAAATGCCTTTACAAAAAAGGTAGTACTTGTCATTACATTCATACTTACGGGACATTTAGTCGGCAATATCAAATTATAACAATAAAACTGGACAAGTGTAGCAGCGTGCTTGCTAATTGAGTCACATCTCCCAAGTCAAAAGTACCTATCACAATAAGACTATTAAGGTACCACATGAAATGCATTTTCGAAATAGGTATTGTAAGAATTGACTTATGATAATGATGGGTTGCCAGTTGTGTTGTAATTAAGTACTGAAGTATTCTTTTGAGTATGTGAGCTTTTTTTGCATGTGTTCTGAGGGTTGGCGGGGGTGCTTTTAATTAGGGTGGCTCTGAAAGCTGCTTTAATGTGTCTGCAGCATCCTGCGTATCAGCATCCCCGTGCTTCTAAATGGCAGAAGGTACTTTAACTAAAAACGCTCATTGAATGAGCTTTAGTTAAAGTGCCCCTGCTGCCAGTGATGCAGAGGCTGCTGGAGCACACTAATTAGCATGCTCCAGCAGACTTGATTAATCAAGCATGCTCTGACATGCTGTAATTACAGCATGTCAGAGCAGCCTCCCTGTATGTCTACAGGTACCCAGTGGCTCCTAGGGCCACACCTCTCCCTGCGTCCACTTTTGAAGGCAGTTGCTACCTGCCCTTTTGGCTTTGAGATGCATTCCTTTCTCTAATAAGAGGGCAATTAGCTTGTTAGATTTTAGAGCAGGAGTGGGCAATTATTTCAGGTGGAGGGCTGCTTACTGAGCTTTGGCAAGCCATCAAGGGCTGAATGACAGGCAGCCAGGGGCATATAATATTAATTTTCTAAAATTTTTAGGGGCCCCATGGGCTGGATAGAATGGCCTGATGGGCTGCATCCGCCCTATGGGCCGCATTTTGCCCACCCCTGTTTTGTCACTTTTTATAGTTAGGATTGTTACAGGTTTTATTTGCCATTTGGTACTTTCTCATGAATTAGTACAGTAATAGTATTTATTTTCCTGATGACAACACAAGGGACAGTACTCTAGTAGTCCCCCCACTTTGTGACTAAGCCATTACAGTTCATAAAAGAGACACCACATTCCTATGCCTGGGAAGAGGTCACATAGCAGTGTACTGATCCATTTGTAAAACTTTCTCAGGAAGGACTTGGAAGATGAGGGGGAAGGTCTTCCTTCTAGAACAGCTGTTGCATGCAGTCTTCAGCTGTGGCAGGCCCTTGAAAACTTCTCAGTTCTAGACCCCATGCATGTAGTTAGTCACAGTGAGACCACTTAGCAGCAGCCACTCTCACTGTTGTTTCAAAATTGCCTCAAAGAGCACTGCTTCATGAAACAGTCTTCATCTGCACCAAGAACTGTGAAAGAAATATCTCATATTCAAGTTTCTGTATCAAAATCTACACAAGCACTGGCTATTGTTTCCGAACTTCTGGACTATACTGCTACCAACAGTAATGTGATGCCAAATCTTTCATTCCTGTCCAAGCTTGCATCATATACCAAAACAACCAAAGGCCCAACTTATACCTAGCAAGCACCATTGCCTGAGGTGTTGATGGTATGGCCTTATTGAAATATTTTTCACTTGCTCTAGTATCAGGATGAAGGACCGAATCTATTTGATTTGGTTTAATGACACTGAGGCAGTGCACAGAGTCATCTGCCTGAGCTTGAAAGAGGGCTGTTCTTTCTCCTTGCTGAAAGGCTTGCAGCAGAACCTCTTACCTTGATGAATGTTTGCAGGAACCCTTTTAAAGAACTGTAAAATCAGCTGTTAGACTTGATGGGAGAAATTCCTAGTGAGATATTCCCTGTGTTCTAGACAATATATCTCACCTGTAATCTCCTGAGCTAGGTCCCTAAGAAAACAAAGCCTATTGGGCTTAGTGTAACTCAGACTCATGCAAGTTAGTGCTGTTTCTCAGATTTGGTTATGTAATAGTGGTCACCAACTAGTGGATCACGATCCACCAGTAGATCTTGGAGCCTCTTGGAGTCAATCAGAGGCTGAGGTGGGGGGCTCAGTGCCCGCGTGTATGCATGTGCATGCCCAGCCCAGCCCAGCCCAGCTGGTCAGTCCATGGGGTTGGCAGCAGTGGCACACGGTAGATCTTGGGTTGCTTTTAAATGCCGAAGGAGATCTCTTATTTAAAAAGGTTGAAGACCACTGGTCTGTAAGGTGCAAATCTACCTTGCCTTCTGCTCTAATAGAGAGAGAATAGTGGAAGTGAGCACTCTCTGGGACTATTTTATGCAGGAATCAACCTCATTTCAAGCAATGTAGATAATGTTTCATTGTCAGCTTCCACTGAGCTAAAGGTCTTTTTAGACTTTTTGCTGTATGACATGTGTTGGACATTCCCTGAGAAAAAAAATGCAA